ATTCTATTTTCAGAATACTGGGACATGGGAGATGCAAGCTACTGTTGTAGATACTGCGGAGCAAAGTTTCGGTACGAGGAAACAAAAGCTCATGATTAGAATGCAGTTTTTCCGGAATACACGGGTTGTTGTGTTAATGGAACCGTAGATCTTCCTTCAGTACAAGATCCTCCTCAATTTTTGAAAGATTTGTTTTATGGAGATGACCATATCAGCAAACATTTTCAAGAAAACATACGATCTTACAACAGCATGTTTGGTTTTACATCAATGGGCGGTAAAATTGATGCGGATATCAATAAGGGATTAGGACCACCTGTTTTTGCTTTACACGGACAGAACTACCATCTAATTGGAAGTTTGCTTCCTCCAGAAGGTTCTACTCCTAAGTTTGCGCTACTTTACATATATGATACTGAAAACGAGGTCTCCAACAGAATTAATGCTGTGAGGTATATAATATATTTTTTTTGGCTTCTTGGTGGTTTTTAATGTGTAATGTGTTTTCATTCTTAATCAATATCTTCATATAATTATATTCTATACAATGTTTTATATTATATAAATATTAAATTGTTTTGGTTGGTGGTTTTGATTTATGTTACAGGAAAGGATCTGATGATACCAAATTGCATGAGGCAATTGTTGTTGGGTTGAAACAGATGTTAGACCAACATAACGAACTAGTAACATCATTTCGTATAGCCAGGGACAGAATGCAAGAACTTGGAGAAGTAAATGTTAGAGTGCGTCTTATTGGAAGGAGGTTTAATGATGCCAGGCGCTATAACTTACCTACTAGTTCTGAACTTGTTGTATTGGTTGTTGGAGATTTTGACCTGGCAATGGGTGATAGGGACATATTAGTTGAAACCAAAAGTGGTTTTTTGAAGCGTATAAATGAGTTGAATGCTTCCTATTTGGCACTACAGTATCCTCTTTTGTTGCCTTATGGTGAGGATGGTTACCGAGAAGACATACCATTTGCTGAAGGCAAAAAGGAAAGTGAAGATGGACGCAAACACGTGAGTGTGTGGGAGTATTTTGCATACAGAATGCATGACAGGGATCATGAACCATCGACTATTATCTCGGCCAGAAGACTGTATCAACAATTTATTGTTGATGCGTATACCATGGTCGAATAATCGAGGTTGCGATATATACGGTTCAATCAAAAGAAACTCCGTTGCGAAATTTATAATGGTTTGGTCGATGCCGTTCTTCGTGGGGACACCGAACCGTGTTCTCGAGGAAAGAGGGTTATTGTTCCATCTTCTTTCATTGGGGGTGCTCGCAACATGATTCAGAATTATCAAGATGCAATGGCAATCTGTAGATGGGCTGGCTATCCTGATTTATTTATTACTTTCACCTGCAATCCAAAATGGCCTGAAATTGTTCGTTTTCTTGAGACAAGGAATTTAAGAGTTGAGGATCAACCGGATATTGTTTGTCGAGTATTCAGGGCAAAACTAAAGAAAATGATTTGGTATTTCCGTACAAAGCAGATATTTGGCAAGGTGATCGCAGTTAAGATATTATTTCATAACATTTATCATACACCAATATGTTGTTTAGTTATGTTTAATTTAAGCAAGATCATTATATAACTTTATTGATTTTTGTTTAATTTTATACGTCTTTTTTTTTGCAGTCGTCTACACAATTGAGTTTCAAAAACGTGGATTGCCTCATGCTCATATTCTATTGTTTTTAGCTAAGGAGAATAAGTTCCCTAGTCCTTCAGATATTGACAGAATCATATCAGCTGAGATACTGGATGAATTATCCGATCCTCTGTATTATGAAGCAGTAAAGGAACACATGATTCATTGTCCATGTGGTTTGGTACGAAAAGGGTTGCCGTGTATGGTTGATGGGAAATGCAGCAAGCGGTTTTCAAAACAGTTTGTAGACTCAACAACCGTTGATGATGAAGGTTATCCTCGCTACAGCCGTCGTGATGATGGGAGATCTATTGATAAAAACGGTGTTCTTCTCCACAATGGATATGTCGTGCCTCATAATCGTGGTCTTTTGATGAAGTACAGAGCTCACATAAATGTTGAGTGGTGCAATCAATCACGATCCATAAAATACTTTTTCAAATATGTAAATAAGGGACACGATCGTGTGACAGCATCCTTCTATAAAATGTTTGCCGAAGGGGAACCTGAAAAGCCTTTGGATGAGATTAACATGTACTATGATTGCAGGTACATATCTTCATGTGAGGCTGCATGGCGGTTGTTGGGTTATGAGTTGCAGTACAAAAAATCTCATGTCCAGCGATTGAGTTTCCATTTGAAAGGAATGCATCAAGTTTTTTTTTATGATGATGATAATCTTCAGTATGTACTCAGTAAAGAATCTGTACAGGAGAGTCAGTTTCTTGCGTGGTTTGAGACAAACTAAAAGTATCCCAAGGCGAGGGAACTAACTTATGTTGAGGCACCTTCGAAATTCGTGTGGAATCCAAAAACGCGTGTGTGGACTCTTAAGAAAAACAAAGACCAACCATCTGTAGGCCGTCTGCGGTACGTGCCTCCCGGTTGTGGCGATGATTACTATTTAAGGTGTTTGGTCAATGTCGTTCGTGGTGCAACATGTCATGAGGATTACATGAAGGTCGGAGAGACTCAATATCTTGCATATTGAGATGCTTGCTACGAATGGGGTTTGTTGGAGGATGACAGGGAGTACTTCGATGGCACAACTGAAGCAAGTCAGTGGGCATCTGCAGACTCTCTAAGACGCATGTTTGCGTCATTGTTGGTTTCTGGTTCTTTTGGTAGACCGGAGGAGGTATGGACAAGATGTTGGCACTTTTTGTCGGATGACATTCTGTATAGACAACGCCGACTATTCAACAATTATGGTAATTTTTAATTTTTATTTATTATATTCAATCTCCAATTATTTTTATATTGGTGTTTTGCTTATGTATCATTTTGTTTATAGGTTTGTTGCTTACTGACGAACAAATCCAAAATTTTGCTCTTGCTGAGATTGAGTATTTATTGAAACGTCGTGGAGCAAGTCTGAGTGATTATTCAACTATGCCATTTCCTGATAGGGACAGTATGCATTCAAGTTCAAATCGTCTGATTATGGATGAGTTAAATTACGATCGAAAGGCTCTTGCTGCTGAACATGAAATGCTTCTTAGAAAAATGACTGATGAACAAAAAGGAGTTTATTCAAGAATTATGTCGTCTGTTTATTCTGGTCGAGGTGGTGTTTTTTTTGTATATGGTTATGGTGGAACGGGTAAAACTTATTTGTGGAGAATGTTATCTGCTGGTATTAGATGCAAAGGTGGCATAGTGTTGTGCGTAGCATCGAGTGGAATAGCATCGCTTTTGTTGCCTGGTGGACGAACGACTCATTCTCGATTTGGAATACCCTTGAATCCCCACCAAGAATCCTCTTGCAATATCAATCAGGAAAGTTGTCTCGCAGAATTGATAATACGTGCTTCTCTGATAATTTGGGATGAGGCTCCAATGATGCACAAGCATTGCTTCGAAGCTGTACAAACATCATTGCAGGATATTATGGGAGCAATTGATCCTTCTAACAAGGATAAACCATTTGGAGGCAAATCGGTTGTGTTTGGTGGAGATTTCTGACAAATTCTTCCTGTCATACTGAAGGGTAGCCGTCAAGACATAGTGAATGCTGCGATTAATGCTTCCGATATCTGGAGGAGTTGTACTATTCTCTGGCTTACGTAAAAGATGCGTCTTCAAAGCCTTGCGAATTCAGAAGAACGTGAAGAGGTTGCTCGGTTCGCAGAATGGATAGCGAGCATTGGAGATGGAATCATAGGAGGGGATAATGATGGTTGTGGGATGATAGACATACCTCAAGATATAATGCTTGAGCCCTCTGATGATCCAATTGCCCAAATTGTAGAGAGCACGTATCCAATGTTTAAGCAGGCAACCGATGATCCCAGTTATTTAAATGACAGGGTAATATTAGCGCCTACGCTAGATGTTGTTGAGTGTATCAATGAGTACATGACATCGTTGAATTTATCTGACGGTCAGATGTACTTAAGTTCTGATACTACTTGCAAGTCCGACTCTAATAACGATTTCCTGTCTGATATCCACACGCTTGAATTCTTAAATAGTATCAAATGTTCCGGAATTCCAAATCATCAATTGCATTTAAAGGTTGGAACTCCCGTCATGTTGTTGCGTAACATGGATCATTCTATGGGTCTATGCAATGGGACGCAGTTGGTTGTCACAAAAAACTCTCCACTCATGTTATCGAGTGTAAGATATTAACTGGCGATCACGCAGGCGAGAAGGCGTTGCTTCCTAGAATGGCTATTACTCCTTCCGATGTCCGAATTCCTTTCAAGTTCCAGAGGCATCAGTTTTCTATTATGGTATCGTATGCGATGACTATCACAAGAGCCAGGGACAATCGTTGTCGCATGTTGGTTTATTTCTTAAGAAGCCTGTGTTCAGCCATGGACAGTTATACGTTGCTGTATCCCGTGTCACCACCCGAAGTGGTTTGAAAATTTTAGTTTGTGGTGACGATGACTCGACGCCAAATCAAACGAAAAATGTTGTGTACAAAGAAGTTTTCAATAATTTATGACTTTTGTAGTTTGCGTCAAACGTATTTACTTTTGTTACAAATATAACAAGTTCATTAAATTTAAAATTTAAATATTATAAAATATTTAAAAAAAATATCATCCCGTACATCGCACAGGTAATTACTAGTTATAACTAACATATAACTAACACTTTAAACTAAATATATTTAAAATTTAAACAAATAAAATAACATCATTTATCCTAATACCCGCTCGAAATGATACCCTTTCATTTCGATTTCATTTGAAAAAAACTGTGTGACGTAACGTTATAGAGTTTGGTCAACGTACGGTTCTGCTGATGGTCTTTTCGTAATAACTCTTGTACCAAAGGGCATTACTGGATAATCGAATTGACAAATTCACCACTACCAACAGTTGCTCTCTTTTTATCACGCCCCCAAATCCCGTCAAATTCTTTGAATTTTCTCCTCTCCACAACAACAAGCCCCTCCCTGCCGTTTTGCTCCTTCTTCGCCAATCGCCGGGAAGCTCCGCCGCGAGGGTTTTGCTTTCCTTGAATTTTCTTCTCTAGTTTTCTCTCTCGTCTTCGGATCTTAGCCTAACTTTCAATTTCCCTTTTCTTTTTCCGGTTCATCGCTGATTTTTTCAGTTACGATGAATTTCTCTACTTTATAGAGCTCTCTCTCATCTCACCGTTCGTCTCAGATCCCGAAATTTTTCTTTACTTCTTCATCAGTACCTTACAATTCGTTGTTATGGCTATACGGTTCACCACTTACTCGGTTTCCATGGCCACAAACCTCGCGGCCGCCTCCGGAAGGGGCGGCGCCTCGAGATTCTTACACGATTTCTCGACGCCAACGCGGATTTTCCAGCACCCACCGTTGCAGAAACCTTCTCCGACTTACTCTGACTTCCACCGCCCTGGATTGGCGACGGACCTCAGCAAACCAACGCCGTTTTCTCAGGCGATCTCTCTGATGAAGCAATCTATCGCGTCTTCTACACCGAAATCGGTCGGCTTTGGGGTTTCTTCTGTTCAGGCGTCCTCGATCCTTTCTTTCTTGCCTAGTTCTAACTGGTTGCCGTCTAACGAGCCCACGAGTACAGAGGTGGACAGGGGACGGGTGATTTCTGGCCGCAAAAGTGTTTGCAAAGGAACTTTGAAGACTAAGATTGGTTCTGAAGCAGTTACAAAAAGTGGTGGTGAGATCAGTGTGAACGTTCTGCAGAATAAACTTGGTGTTAGTAAGTTTGCTAATAGTTGGCTGTTGAAAATGTTGAACTTCTGCTTTACCTCTGAAGATGCTAGGGCGGCTTTCACTGCCGTCAGTGTTGGCATCCTTTTCAAATCATCTTTGGCGGAGCCGAAATCAATTCCCTCCATGTCTATGTACCCAACACTTAATGTGGGTGATAGAATTCTGGCTGAGAAGGTATGCTCTCTAATTTACTCGATTTATTTACCTATGTGATCCAGGGATTATTTGGGTTTGATTTGATATGCCTAGGCAATTTCTGTCAATTTTGATTGCTTGAGATCATTTGTTTCATATGTGATGTGTATTTTATATGATATTGTTGTGAAAGAAAAAGTAAAGATAGGTGTCGGATTGAAGAATTGAGTACATTCTGCTTTGAATTGTCAGAATTTTCGGTGGGGATCACAATAAGATCGTAGGTCTGCTCAAGATGCTTGTGCCCAGTAATGAATCAATTTGGTGTGCTTGGGATTATTATTAATAATCAGTTGTTCAGTATTACATTATACTATAACTTATTTTCTGATTTATTCTCTGTCACATATTTATGTTTAAGACAATACTTGGTTATTGCAACCAAGAAAACCTTTTTAGGTATTATAGCGGAATCAATCCTTTTATGTTATGTTGCATCAGTTGTACTGGGAGGTTGTGCAGTGCAGCAGATGTGCATTTTTTAGTCAGTTGTGAGAGTCAAGTCGAGTAGAAATAATTCTCTCGTGACTTTGTAGTAAGATATGAACCATAGTTAG